TACCTAGCCTTTTGACACTCGCCCCCCCCCTCCTCCTCTCTCCCCGGGGCGGCAGGGGCCCTAACTGACAACAGCGCCCGCAACAACAAATGCTTTATACATTTCCGGGCAGGCCACATGTGGGTCCAATTTTTAGGAAGCAAATTCATTTAGTATTCTTGATGTTCTGGCCTCTCCCCAAAATGCTTGGGCAAATTCCATTCATTGTGTGAAATGTTCACGTTGCCAGGCGTTGAAGAGTCGCGAGTTGACCGTGTCCGTACTTCCGCATGGCTTAACATAACAATAACGGCAAATCCGCAATTGATGAACCGAGCGCTCTAGGGCGCGCGGCCGCCCTAACCTCCACTTTCTGACGCGTGGACTTTTTGCATTCCGTCTCTGACTTTCGTGACGTCCAACGCGGATGGCGCCCGGGGTGCAAGAAGCTCATGGTCAGGCCACGATGGGTGCAATATGGCGAAAATGCCAGTTCTTATGGTTCGCGATGTGTCAGCGTGGAGGTTTAGGTCTCAGTGCATTGACAGATTTACTCAGCCGACGTCACGCAGGATTCATGATTGCCGCATTTCGTGGATGAATAGCTATGGATTTTCCTGGAGGCTGGTGGCGTACAGCGGGTGCATGTGGAGCGGAGCATCCAGCATTCGCCCGGCTTTCGAAGCGAGATCCGATCCCCCGCATGTGGAGGTGCTCTACGTTTCTGTACAGCACGAAAACTGACAGTACAAATACGGAGTCGCGAATCGCACTATCCTTTCGTCTGCCATCCTCTCGCGCCACCAACCTTGACCTTTCGCTGCAACCGCGAGACCAGAAACCAAGACGTTTCGACATCATCCCAACACTGACGAGCAAGCTCTTGCGCACTACCTTACGGTACCGACCGCTCAGAATGACAGGCGGGAAGAAGGACGCACACAACCTGTCCGAGGGAGACGACGTGTCGTGGAAATGGGGCTCGCAGCATCCCTCCGGCACCGTCAAAGAGGTTGTTGACGGCGACGCACAGGCCAAGACCAAGAAGGGCTCGACCATCAGCAAAGAAGGCAGCAAGGATGACCCTGCCGTCATCATCGAGACAGCCAACGGCAACAACGCCGTCAAGAATGTAAGAGTACCCGCCCCGGCTCGGTTGAAAACGTGCTGCTGCTAACGGCTTTCTCTCACCACCCACAGGCCAGCGAGATCGACGGAGTCAAGCCTTGACGAAAGCCCTTGTATTCTTGCTCGCACTCTCGGAAGCGCAATATTGTACATGATTCACCAACCGAACTGGAGTTGCTGGCGGGAGAAGACGGGGGGAGTCCAGTTGAGTTTGTCCGGGTTGATGCGCCTGCGCTTCTTCTTGGCCGTCTTGTCGTGCTTTGCGATGACGGCGTCGGAGAGGACGAGGTAGTGCTTGCCCTGGTATTGCTTGAGCATGTTGAGCGCCATGCAGGTGTGGAGGACGTCTGCGTGGGTGAAGGCGGTCTTCTGTGCGATCTCCTCGATGCTGATGTCCTCTTCCGTCTTGAGCAAGAGGTCGACGATGATCTCGGCCCAGTAGGCTCGGTAGCTGAGCAGGCCCAGATCGGAGAGCGGCTTCTCGGGGCTGCCGAGCTTGTTCTCGCGCTTGGTGAGCTCGTAGGAGAATTCGATGAGCAGCTTGCCGTAGCCGGCGCGCTGGTGCTGCGGCAGCGTCAAGATGCAGGCGACGTTGTAGTTTTCGGCGGATTCCTTCTCCTTGGAGAAGTAGCCCAGGAGATGGCATCCGAGATCGTCGCGCTTGACCATGCAGTAGTAGAGGAAGGGATCGACGTCGTAGTAGAGCGTCTTGTGGTCGNTTTTCGGCGGATTCCTTCTCCTTGGAGAAGTAGCCCAGGAGATGGCATCCGAGATCGTCGCGCTTGACCATGCAGTAGTAGAGGAAGGGATCGACGTCGTAGTAGAGCGTCTTGTGGTCGAGGAAGCACTTGCTGAGCAGGCACAGGTTGCGGCACCACGTCTTTTGACGACGACCGTCGATCTCGAAGAAGGAGATGTCTTCGTGGCGGTAGATCTCGTTGCCGGGCGGATGCGCGAGCGTGCACTTGCTGCGGTGGCGGCGGAGGGTGACGGGCGAAGGAAAGTAGGAGAGGCACATCTCGCAGATGTAGAGCGTGTCGATGTGGGCGTACTCGAGCGGATAGGGGCTGAAGTACCAAGTCTCGACTTCGGACTTGCCCATCTGGATCTTGTTGAGGTTCTTGACGCGGGCCACCTCGGAGACGGACTGAGTCATGGAGCCGGAGGTGCGAAGCTTTTCGATCTCCTGCTCCTTGCTAAAGGTGTCGTTCGACTGGTTGGCGTTGAGCGAAGCGGTGAGGCCGCCGTTCTTGTGCGTCGCGACGTCGTCCCTCTCCTGCTGGTCGTTGCCGCCGAGCATTTCGATGGCGACGACGGCGCCGTCCTCGTCGTCCTCGCCGTCGGCGTCGGCGTCTGCGTCGGCATCGACGGAGTCGGCGCGTGTGCTGTGTGGGGTGGAGGTGTCGCTGGAGCCGAGCTTCCGCTTTTGCTGGGGCGTGTCGGGGTGCGCGTCGTCGAGCACGTTCTTGGCTGCCTGAGCGGCTGCCTTCTTGAGCAAGTTGGTGGCGCCGGCGGATCGGTTGCCCTTGGCTGTGGGGGTGAGGGGCGTGGACGGGGTTGAGGTGCCGCTGGCGGTGCGGACGACTTTTCGTTTGGTCTTGTCGTTGGCGGGTTCCTTTTTGGGCCACTCGAGCTCGCGCGAGGTGATGAGGCGCGTGCCGCTGACCCACTCGTCGAGTCGCTTGTTGAACTCGCAGTAGTGGACGTAGTACTCGAGCTTCTCCTCAAGGGTGGGTGCGGGCTTGCCGGCAAGCTCCGACTGCTGCTTTTTGGTGAGGCGCGGCTTGGGCTTCTCCCTGATGGAGAGGATCTCTGCCTTGCGCTCCTCCATCTCGCCCGTGACGACGTCTGGCTTCTGAACAAAGGCTTTGCAGCCGACGACCACATCCTCGAGGCCATACGTTCCGGCGGGGCTGATCTGCGGACCTTCGTCCGGACCGGGCGTGCCCGATCCTCCGGGAGTGCCGCTGGTCGACTTTTGCGTACGAGGAGCCATTGCGACGATGCTTGCGAGGTGCGAAGAGCGAGCCTCGTAACGAGAAAGACGTGAGAGAGCGTGCGGCGTGTTCAAGAAATGGTCGGAGAAGGCGAGGCGACGGAGCCCATCTGCAGAGAGGCTTTGCCGACCTCCGAGTCGAACCGAGGCTGGCTGACGTGCTGCTGCTGCTGCTGAACGATCAAGAGGAGGAGGAGGAGGAGGAGGAGAAGATG